TCTGAAATATCTTTGAGTTAACTTTGTGTTTATCTTGTGTTTACCTCATGTGATTTATATTGAGAATAATCCTTCGACATTATTGTGAATCCTCACCCGTGATTCCTTGAGTAATTGTCTTAGTTTTATCTACCCTTTTAAGATTTTATTTGAAGCCACGAAACTATCGTGACAACGCACTTGCTCATTTTTGTATTTTTGTATTTTTATAGAAGTGTAATGACAAAGAGATAGATATACTCTGGGTTATTTCAAATATTCCATTTGTTATTCAATGTAAAAACTTGAAAAGTAAGAAAAAATTGGTATATTTTAGTGAAATTTAATGAAATTTTATTATATTTAATGATTATCATTAATAAATTTCTAAAATCACAGATCCTTACGTCATTCGTGACAGTTAGCAAGAAATTCGTGATAGCCTTCTCAAAGGAATAGTTATTCCTTGTGCTATAGAGGATGTCCTCACTAATAGTGCGAAATTATATTTAGATTGTAAATATTTTTGTAATTTCCTATGCAATAAAATCTAACCTGAATACTATTGTGTTGCTTTAATGCAAATCTGCTTTGGAATTGTTTCTTTCGTATATATTTATAATGTTATTGGGTAATCCAATTATCATTTCACGTGACTTTTTTTCATTATAGCGGATTGCTTATAATAATCGTGAATTTGTCTTTTTATTTTGAGATTTTTAATCCTATATTCAAATTACACTAAAATAAAATAAATATATAAAAAGTTATCTATTTAAGTAAGCCTGGATAAACATCATCACGCTAAAAATTTTATTTTCATACCATGAAATGTCAGGATATGGAAAGTATCGAATCTTCGATTTTTTATAAGAATATAATTTTAGGAGATTTTTATTTGATGTGATAATTAATATAAAATAAATCATATAATTTGAACAATTTATTGCTTAGTGAATTCATTTTATAAAAAAATTTTTGGTGAATTGAACTCTACTATAAACTGACATATTTTCTTGAATTACAAAGTCAGACGTGACTGTATTTGTATATTTATAATAAAATTTGATTATTCAACAAATGCTGATTTACCTGAAAAAACTAATATAATGTTAAATTAAAACCGAATCGATATAGTAAAATAAACATAATAACTTTATTTAATTATCATTAAATGATAATAATATTTAATATCAATTCAGCATCATTTATACTTACATGTATAGAGTTTCTATAAAAAAATTAAAGAAAATTATTTTATAAATTATTTAAATTATTTAAATATTTTTTTTATTAAATTATATTTTAATATTTTTATTTACTTAAGTTTTCATAAACATTAAAATTACTTTATAAAAATATATAATTGTATTAATTTTGTAATTGCTTAAATTTAAAATCTATAAATTATTAATATTGAATATAATATATAAGTTATAATATAATTTATACTTTTTTGATTATATATAAAATTGAAAATACTTTAATTTAAAAATTAAATTAAAAAGATGAAATATTTAAAATCATATCAATTACATACATTACCCTTAAAAAATTATCTAGTCAATCTTTTCTTAAATTTTTCAAGATTAGACATATTAACTAACTAAAATATTTCTTTAAAGAATCCTCTAATTTTGAATTTATATATAAATTCTATAATCACTGAAACTCTGTTTATATAAATTATCAATGTTTTCTGAGTTCAATAACTTTAACAAAAGCTATACTTTCTTGATTCTGCCACTCATCTTCAAAAGGATTTTATTTTTATAAATTAATTTTTATTTATCCAAAAATCTATATATGTAATTATTTTTGTTTATTTTATTTCATCCAAATATTAATTATATTAAATTCATCATTTCATTAATTTTCTTTATTTTTATTTTATTTAGTATCATATTTTTCTATATAATCTTAATATTCTAAGTCAGTTATTTATTTCCATTATTCATCTTCTTTTTTCTAAACCCACTATTTAATTATTTTCTTATAATTCATATTCTTTTTATTTTTCTTTATATTCCATTTTCTTACTTTCTGTATATTTTAAATTTCTGTTATTTTGGTTTATTAATTTTATTAATAAGAAAATCAATAAATATTTGAATGTTATTTAATAATAACTATCTGTAACTTTAACATTTTAATGAAATAGTTATATAAGTATTATTATGTTAATTTATTACAGTCAACTCTTATTATAATGAACTCTATGTCTTAGACCTCAACTTCACTATAAGGCTATAGTAAAGATTTTAAGAGATTTGATTAGCTAATTCACTATAACAAGAGTATTTTTATTATATTTGTTCAAAAAATTTGTTATATTAAAAGTTCGTTATAATAAGTGTTAACTGTATTTATTAGAATAAAATTTATTATATTTATAACTCATTAATTAATTATTTATAAATTAATAATTATATTAAAAATTAAGCAAACTTATTATTCTTTTTTAAATATTAAATTTATGCATAAGCTCTTTCTTTATTATGATATAATAGGATTATATAGATAATTAAATAATATTGTTTATAGTTTTTTTAATTTACAATATTAGATACTAGAAGTACTATTAATAGATTATATTATATCAATAGAAGAAATTGAGATAATCAGCCTGCTGAGATTAAAGATTAGAAATAATCAAAATAAATTGATTAATTAATCAATTAAAGTACCTTAAAAATTGTTTAATCAATTAAACTAACTAATTAATTTAACTGATTAATTAATTGATTAAATTAATTAGTTAAAAATACAAGCATCTTAAAATAATATTTCAATAAGTTATTTTTAATTAAATCAATTTTATAAAAGAAAAATTAGCTAAATTGATTTTAATTTTAAAATAGACTTTTATTTTATATTACATATATCATTGTAATCATTATAAAGAATTTAATATGAATGATAATAAATTGAATGATGATTTTTTTAAATATATTGATTATAGAGACATTGAAAATACTTTATCTAGATTATCAAAGACTGCATCTAAAAAGAGTTTTGTATAAAAGTATTTTGAATAGATTAATAATAGAAAGTCTGATATACAATAAAAATGAGAAGGAAGAGCCATATAATATGATCAATTTCTTTAAGAAAATTTTGTAATTGGTTAAGTTTTTCTTGTAATTCTATTGTAAATAATAACATAAAAAAATATTGTAAAAAAAGCAAAAAATAGCATAATCATAATATAAATATTTATCATATTGTTACGAATGAATGTAATTTTGACTAAAATCTTCTTAACTCTCTATGTAAATCATTTTTAATAATTACAATTAGTTTTTTTAAAGATCATTTGCCAGGCTATTACAATGTTAGAATGTCAAGATGCTAAGTTGTTAGAACACCAGACTATCAAGATATCAGGTTGTCAAAATGCTAATATAACAAATATTTAAGATTTCAGATTGGCTTAATTAATATTTTTTATATATATATTGAGCTGAAAATCCTAAAACAACTCAATATTCTATGCTCACTTTTAATATATTTCTTTAAATACATTCTCTTTGCAATTCTTCTTTATACACCTTCACAATAATTTCAATTTTCGTTATTTTAACTTTATAATTTCATATATGTAACATTATTTATTATTTTATTTTTAATATCTGATTTATTAGTATTTTATAATTTGATTTTTTATATAATAATTTCATAATTTACATAATCTTAATTAATTAGAATTTAGTATTTGACATTTATAGAATTTAAAATATTAATTAAGTAAAAATGTAAAGCATTAACATTAAAGCAACACTAATTAATTTGATATTATTAAATAAATATTTATCACAATTACTTCATTTTTATTTAATAATCATTAATACCTTCTGCTTACATTACAAAATTATTTATAAATATATAAACAAAAGAATAAAATATAACAATAGATAACTTATTTAAAATTTTTGTAGCTTAAATTTTACTTTATATAAAATTTAATATAGATTCTAAATTATATAAAATTAGTATTATTAATTTAATACTAAATTTGATAAAATTTCTCCAAGATTTAAACTTTAAAATAAATATAAAATTATAATTTTAGAATTTATGATTGATAAATTATAATTTTTTTAAAAATAATCATTTATGTTTATTTATAAAAAAAGTTATTTGACTGTTGCTAATTTGCACCTGTGGTGAAATTACCTAGGTGATATCACCCGTAAATAATTTGCTAAAAACAGGTGATTTCACCTGTATAAAAAAATATTTAATAAATTACAAATCTTATTACGTGATTTTATTATATTATATTACTTATTTCTTAGTTACTTATAATAATAAAATGAGATTTTTTTAATTGGTCATTTAATTTTAACATCTCTTTTACTGTCAAAAAAAAAATGTTTGATTTATTTGTTTGATATAATAAAACAGTCTACACATTTCTTTTACTATCTAAAAAATTACCACTACTAGTTTATTAGACATTTAGACATCATGAAGCATAGTGACCTATTTGATTGCATAGTTTATAATGTCTTTCTCTTTTTTTTCCAGATTGACTTGCTTCTTCATGATCTTTATTGGTAATATTAGTAATATCTCGAATATGTTTTGCTTTCTTTTTTAGGGATTCGCCACATGACTTATATCTATTAGGTTGTCTACCTTTATGTTGTACCTGTAATAGATCACCAATATGCATAAGAATTATATTTTCCTATTGTTCAGATAGTTCCACTTTTGTATTTTCAATAAAAAATTTTACTTGATCGACAAATTCATCAACTTTATCAGTTTGAATAGCCAAATCAAGAGCTTTTTTAACATATCTCATACTAAATCCGTATTTTTGTTTAGGACCCTGCAATTGTACAATATTAGGTGTTTGTCTAAAATTTCTGAGGTGTTGAAAAGATAATTGAGGCAAAGGTTATTCTAACTCATTTAGTTCTCCTTCTCCAATATTATTTACTGGTACCATATATTCCTCATGTTCAATATTATATTTGTTATTATTATACCATCATTGAGGGATAAGTGATATATGAAACTGTGCGTTAACTGAATAAGACATAACACGAAAAAAATGTCTACACACAATTCCTCTACTGATAAACTAAAGAAAAGTACATAAATGTGAACCATCATCAAGAAGAATAACACATTGTGATTCTGATTTTTGCCCACAATGTCTAATCACCTTCCATACTTGCTAAATATTATTATGGGGTATATTTTTGACCAACGAAGAAAATAGAGATTAAGGTTGGTCATAATCATCTTCTCTAGCCATTTCTTATTTATAAGAATCGTCTACCATCTAAATTAAAGAAAAATATGATTTTTGATCATTAATGACTGTATTATCATTAATTAATATTAATTTTTCATATCTTATAATGAAACTTACTTCCAGAAGTGGTAACCAATCCTCAATTAATACTGCATCATAGCATAATGACTGGGCTATTTGATCACGTTGTTTTTGAAGAATTTGTAATGTTAAGTATTCTTGCAAAATTTTGTCAAGGTCTGGAAAATATTCATCCATTATAGATGATATCCCTCTTGTTGGAATTTCATTTTTACATTCACTTAATATTGCTCTTTTTGATTGTTGATCAAATATCCTTTTAACTTCTCCAATAACATCAGTCAAACTTGAAAATCTATTTAATTTATCTTTGATTATTTTATTATTTATCTCTACTCATTATATACTTTGAATTCCTGCAGTAAAATTTCAGTTTGTAGTATAACTTGTCCAACTATTTTTACATGAATATAAAACTCTTGTGAGATATTGTTCACAAACTGGAAATTCATTAATAAGTGCTTTCCATTCTATCTCAAACTTTTATAGCATAGAGAATTATGCATTACTAAGAATTTAGCACGAAAAGCTTCAAATTGGTCATGTAGCTTTCCTTTAAGTTTCTTTTTTAGATTTAAATCTAGATGAAAGATACAAAGAAAATGCTATATTTCTGGATAGTATTTCTTATAGCTGATATTAAAGCTGGATCAGCATCAGAATATAAGGCCGTTGGTATAATATCACAAGAATTTTTTAATTCTTCTAGAATCCATGCAAAAGTTGCTTCTGTTTTGTCTTTCAAAATTGCTGCTGCTACTATTAAATTTCTAAAATTATTGTCAATTACTATTACTAGTATCAATATCATATCAAATTGGTTAGTTTTTGATGTTATATCAACAATTACAATATCATGATATCTTTCATAGGCATTAACTTGATCAGGCGACATCCAAAATAAAGAATTTAATCTTCTTTCTTCAGAATCAAAGCGTGGATTTATGATCTATCTTGGATTATCATCTTTTTTCAAATATAATTCAGTAAGCATTTAACATGCATCATTTTTATTAGGCTTTGCTTATTTCTTAAATTGTTGAATAGCATTATTTAAATCCTTTTTATTAATTACTTTATTTAAAAACAAAGCCACCAATATGTTGTATTGAGTTGATATGCCTATTTTTCCTTGAATTGTTTAAAACTTCACTTTTTCAAGCATCTTATCAGTTAACTTCCAAAACTTTGATGCTATTTCAGTGATAAGAGGGTTCATATCATGATTATGTTCACCAACTATGCTATTGATTTGAATACTACTTGCAGATTTGGGAAAAGAAAGATTAATATGCCAAGGACATCCAATCATCTCAAAGTCTCTATTCCTTCTATTTTCTGCTAAAACAACCTTTTGAGCTTCATGAGTTTGTGCATATGAGCATTCATATATTCTGCATCTTGTGATTGTATTGTCAATTGAATCTCGTACATACCTTTTTTTATGAAAGCAGAATTCTTGTTTCTTTGCATATTTATCAAGGTACAATTCAGCAAGTTTCCATGTTTCAAATTTCATTCCTTGATGTAATTTTGTTCCATTCTCTTCTTCTTCCTCATGCTCATTATTATCATTATCTTCTTGATAATCAACATTTCCATCATCTTCTTCCACACGAACTACAGTATTTATCATTTCATTTTCTATTTGAGTTTCTTTATATGTCTCAAAGAGTAGATCAGAAGAACTGTGTGAGGAGTCATATAATTCAAATATTGGCGGATTAGAAGAAGAATCATGTAAGGAACTATACAAGTCAAATATTGGCGGGTTAGAAGAATTATTTAAAGAATTATGGTAAGTGTTGAATAACAGATTAGAATCACTATATAAAGCATCATAATAAGAGTTGAACAATAGATCAGAACCATTATACAAAGAAACATTGATACTTGGAATAATATTTTCCATTGTTAAGTAGTTTTAAAGTTACGTATGACATGTCAAAATTCAGCTAATAGATACAATTAGAAATAACGTGTGATGTAATTTTAATTCTTTAGGGAAAGAAGGAAGAGAATAAGATATGGCAAAGAGCTTTACAAATAGTGTCTCTAAGAAAAAAACATACGTAAAAAGAGAGAATTTTGGACGAAAACATTATATCATTCGCATTAAAAATTTTAATTTCATTTAACGTGATACAGGTGAAATCATCTGAGTTAAAATCACCTGTATTAAAAATTTTTTAATTATAAAATTTAATATAAAAATAATCAGATGATATCATCTGAGTTATATCACTCTGAATTAAAAATAGTTATAATCAAGTTATTTTAAATGTAACAAAATATATAATATTTAGTACAGTAAAAATACTAGATATAAAATTATTTAACTAAGATAATTTAATTTTAGATAGATATTTTATTAAAAAAAATAATTATTTAATAAGATTAACTTAACAGTTATTTTAATCAGATAAACTTAGTAAGTTAATTTGTAAAAATAATGTAATTAAAGAAAAATATAGAGTAATAAGTTTAAATTAAAAATATAAAAAGAAAAAGAAAAATACTTCATATCACCGGTGGCGATCATCACCGGTATCACGTCACGTGATATAATATTATATTTATTTATTTATACATTTGTACGTGTCACATCACGTCAGATGATATAATTATTTTAACTAAAATTTTTTTGCATCGTGATATGTGATATCATTTCTTAATGTTTTACAATGTATTACACTGATTTATACGCCAAACCAGCCAAACGTTTGATTTTTTTACCCATAATCGCTCTTTTTTTTCTCTTAACGGCCATCCATCTATAATCTTTTTCTTTTGTTAAGAGAAAACTGATGTTAGCATTTAATCATATTGCAGTTTAAGCCAACTTTAAACGAATACTTTCCTTGTTTTTCATTATAATCAATCATCATCATCCTAACCTATAAAATAAAAATGCAAGCTGGAGTACTTTTAGATATAATAAGTGAAATCAATAGGTTACCTAGTGATGAAGAAAGTGAGATTGATAATACAAATACAAATACAACAGAAATAACACTAAATGTTAATGATACTTTCAAAAATTGGAATGCAGTCAATGTTGCTGTTAATATGTACGTGAAGCAAAATGGATTTGTTGCTACAAAATATCGTAAAGATCTTGATGAAATTGATAAAACTATTATTCAACATCGGGTATATAGATGTTGGAAAGGTGGAGTTAATAATCCAAGAAAGGTGAAGAACATTAATCTTCATTGTGATAGTGTTTCAACTAAAACAAACTGTCCATGGCAAGTGGGCTTTTATTTTGGCAAAAATGCTAATATCATACGCCTTACCAAATTCGATAATATTTATAATCATCAATGTGATCCAGTAACTATAGATTTGGCTCCTAAGAATTCACATCTTCCTATTGTGATTTTGAATAAGATCAAACATTATACTATTAATGGTCGTTTAGGTGCTGGACAATAATATGACTTGCTTACCAAAGAATTTCCTGAACATCCTATTAAAAAGAAGAACTTATATAATGCTATTCAAAGTTTTTGAGGTGTTCAAATTCATAATGAATCTGATGCGGCTATGATGTTTTCATATCTTATAAAGTTGCGTGATCAAGATCCCGATTATATTGTTATACCACGTTTAGAAAGAATTATCTAATGAACTTACTGAATTATTTTGGATGACTAGCTAACAATGTAATGAACTTTGGCCTAAGTTTCGTGATGTCATCATACATGATAACACAGCAAAGATGAATCAGTATGAGATGTCGCTTAGCTTATTTGTCGATATTGACAATAATTATAAGACAAGAGTTCTTGCTCAAGCCTTAATAAAATATGAGACACAAGCGGATTATAGTTGGATTTTACAGTGTACATTAGAAGTAACTGACAATCTTCCACCTATCGTATTATTTACTGATAGTGATCCAGAAATGATAGCAGCTATTCAAGTTGTTTATCCAGAAACTCGTCATTTATTATGTATTTACTATATTGCTGAGAACGTGAAGAAGAAAGCCAAATCCAAATTACACAGTGAGATGGTTAATAGTTTTGTTAAAGATTTTTACCATATGCGAAATAGTTATAATCAGTATCAGTTTGAATCAAGATACAATGAAATGCTAATAAAATATGAGAAATGTCGATCTTACCTTGAAAAAAACTCTATCCTAATCGCGAATCGTGAGCAAGATATTCTATTACAAAGATTTTTATGGCAGGAGTGAAATCAACTCAGCGTGTTGAATCCTTAAATGGAGTTCTTAAAAAACATGTTCATCGAGGGACTCTATTAAAGGAATTAGTGATAGAAATAGAAAATGAGTTAAATAAAGAAGAGCAGTATAATCGAATCAGGGATTACTATGGGTCAAATCTATCAGTCAGTCTTCCGTCAACTTATGAAACCATTTTTAAAGACATTGATTCTGTTTTAAAAGATTCTTTAACACCAATTCTATTATCACTTCAAAGAGCTCAGATGAAACAGGCGTTATTATATCAAGAAATTTTGGTCTCTATTGAATAAGTCAATGAATTCGACGAAGAGCTTAATAGTATAGTAGAACACATATATGATAGACCACAAATTAGATTATGAGAACTTTTATTAGGTATTAATTGCAAGGAAATTCAAGAAATATGGGAGGTCAATTATATTGTGGCATCTTCAACATCCAAACCACATTATGTAGTGATACTTAGAGATATGACATTACTTTATACATATACAGTGGCCCACAAAAGAAACGCAAGTGTGATTGGTTACCTTTGAACGGCTATAACTCATCAACCACAAATGC